GTCGCTGGGTCTCCGCCGAGCAGCACGTGGAGGTCGCTTCTGCAGCGCCTCTGCTTCCGCTGCTGCCGCGTCTGCTGCTGCTGCTGCTGCTGCTGCAGGACATTTACAACAAGTTGGTGGCTTCTTTCGCGCCTTCAATTGTGGGGCGCGACGATGTGAAGAAAGGCATTTTGTGTCAGCTGGTGGGGGGCTCTCGTTTGCTGCCGCTGCAGCAGCAGCAGCAGCAGCAGCACACGCGGCAGCAGCGGAAGCAGAGGCCCTACAGAAGCGACCTCCACGTGCTGCTCTGCGGAGACCCAGCCACGGCGAAGTCGCAGCTGCTGCAATACGTGCACCAGATTGCGCCCAGGTAGGGTTTAGGGTTTAGGGTTTAGGGTTTAGGGTTTAGGGTTTATTGTTAGGTGGCTTCTTCGTCAGCATCTCCGCCGTCGCTGCCTCCGCCGCTGCTTCGCTCGCAGCCTCCGCGCCCCCTCCCCGCCGCTGCCGCTGCACCCCTGCTGCTGCACCCCTGCTGCTGCTGCTGCTGCTGCTGCTGCTGCAGGTGCGTGTACACGTCGGGGCGGGGCAGCAGCGCCGTGGGCCTCACTGTGGCTGTCACCCGAGACCCCGACACTCGCGAGTTTGTCTTGGAGAGTGGAGCTGTGGTTTTGGCGGATGGCGGCGTTTGCTGCATCGACGAGTTCGACAAGATGGAAGAAACCGCCAGGTTTGCTGCTGCTGCTGCTGCTGCTGCTGCTGCAGTTGCTGCTGCTGAGCCCGCAGCCGCGGCCGCGCGGAAAGCGGCGGCTCCAACGGCGCGTTCTGCTGCCGCAGCTGCTCTTGCTGCTGCTACACTTGCTGCTGCTGCTGCACTTGCTGCTGCTGCACTTGCTGCTGCTGCTGCACTTGCTGCTGCTGCTCTGTGGCAACTGTTGATGCAGTTGGCACTGCTGCAGTCTCTGCTGCTGCAGTTGCCGCTGCGGCTGCCGCAGCGACATTCCAGCTGTGTGATCCAAGGGGCATTGGTGGGTTTGCTGCCGCTGCTGCTGCTGCTGCTGCTGACAGGGCAATTCTGCACGAAGTAATGGAGCAGCAAACTGTCACTGTGGCCAAGGCTGGGATCGTCGCCTCCCTGAGGGCCCGCACTGCCATTCTGGCCTCAGCAAATCCCGTCAGCTCAAGGTAACTCACGCTGCTGCTGCTTCTGCTGCTGTTGTTTCTGCTGCTGCTGCTGCTGTTTCTGCTGCTGCTGATGATGATATTTCTGCTGCTGCTCCTTCTCTTTGCTGAGACTGCGGTGGCCCTATGGTGCTGCTGTGTCGCTCGTCAGTGGTGTTATTGGCGTCCGCATTGTGAGGGCCATCCTAGTTTGAGGGTTTAGGGTTTAGGGTTTAGGGTTTGGGGTTTACAGCTTGTTTCTGGAGTCTAGGGCTGTCTCTGTTAGTATCACTTCTCCTTTTTGTTTGTCTTTGCTGCCCTGATCCTCAATTGTGGTCACAAGATATGCTTCTGTACTGTTGCTTCTTTGCTGCTGCTGCTGCTGCTGCAGTTTCTTCCTTTTCTCCAGCGATAAGAAAATGCAGTTTTTTCCATTTTAACAACTTAATAATTATTTAATTTGCCATTCTTCGAACAACTGAACAACATGCCACTAGTTGTTTAAAGCTAAAGTTAATCATTATTTATTTATAATCAATTATTTATTTTTTGTGTTTTGCTGCTGCAGATACGACCGGCAGCGGGCAGTGGTGGAAAACATAAACTTGCCTCCTTCTTTGTTTTCCAGATTTGATTTAATTTATTTGCTGCTGGACACGGCTTCTCCCGAGGCCGACAAGCAGCTTGCTGCGCGCCTCTGCAGGTCCTTCGCAGGCGCTCCCACAGAGGTTTGCTGCTGCTGCTGCTGCTGCTGCTGCTGCTGCTGGGGATGGGCGGTGGGCTGCTGCTGCTGCGGGGGGCGGGGAGCTGCTGGTGGAACTGTTGAACTTGCTGTTGTTGCCGCTGCTGGACTAGCTGCTGCTGCTGAACTAGCTGCTGCTGCTGCTGCTGCTGCTGCTGCTGATACTGCAGGACAGTGTTGAGAGCAGCCCGCCCATCAGCAAAAGCCTGCTGAGTTCTTACTTGGCCTTCTGCCGCTTCCGCTGCCAACCAACTTTATCTTTGGAAGCAAAAGAGGCCCTCAAAGCAGAGTATCTCAGAATGCGCAAAAGAGACACCACCAGCAAGTAATGCCCAGCAGCAGCAGCAGCAGCAGCAACACCAGCAGCAGCAACACCAGCAGCAGCACCAGCAGCACTAGCAGCAGCAGCACTAGCAGCACGGGCAGTAGCAGCACTGGCAGCAGCAGCACAAGCAGCAGCAGCTCTAGCAGTAGCAGCTCAGCAGCAGCAGCAGCAACGGCGTTAGTGGGGCAGGAGCTGTGCTGCTGTGTGCTGCGGTGTCTAGACACCCGTCTGCTTCGATCCGGCAGCTGGAGTCGCTGCTGCGGCTGTCGGAAGCAATTGCGAAGCTGCGGCTGTCTCCCCAAGTTGCTGCAGCAGATGCAGCAGAAGCAGTTCGCCTCATCCACGTCGCCACTTTCCAGTCCCTCGTGGACCCCTTCTCAGGTCTGCTGCTGCTGCTGCTGCTGCTGTGGCTGCTGCTGCTGCTGGAAGTGTGCTTCGGGCCTAGCTGGCGGCTAAGCTGTTGCTGCCTGCGCTCGTGCTGCTGAACTTGCTGCTGCGGCGGGCAATTCATGTGCATTGCAGCTGGCAGCAGCAGCAGCAGCAGCAGCAATGTTGTTTACTTGCTTCTCCAAGCACACTGCTCGCTGCTCTAAGGCGGTGCTGCTGCTGCAAGCCCTGCTGCTGCTGCTGCGGCTGCTGCTGCTGCAGGCCGGATAGACTTCGACCAAATCCATGTGGGGCAAAGCCGGCAACAGCGGCTGCTGCAGCAGCGCTGCTGCGAGGCGCTGCAGCAAGTGCTGCTGGCAGCAGCAACCAGCGGCAACGCCTTCCTCACCAAAGAAGAGCTGCACATAAAAGTTCAAGAGCTGCTGAAGGTCAGTTTGCTGCTGCTGCTGAGGGGCTGGTGCTGCTGCTGAGGGGCTGCTGCTGCTGCTGCTCGAGGTCATTACTGCTGCTGCTGAAGCTCTGTTGCTGCTGCTAAAGGTCCGTTCGCTACTGCTACGGAAAATCCGGTTGTTGCTGCTGCTGCTGCTGCTTCTGATTGTTTCTGTCCGGGCGAGACTTCTGACTGCGAACAGCCCGTGCCCTGCCCTGCTGCTGCTGCTGCCGCCTTTCTGCTCCAGCTGCGGCTGCTGCTGCCTCCACTTTGCTCCCGTGCTGCTGCTGCTGCTGCAACCTTTTGCTGCTGCGGTGACTTTCCCTTTGCAGCTGGGAGGCAGCAGCGCCGGAGTAGATATGGCGACTCTCAATGCTGCGCTGCAGCAGCTTGAAGAAGACCGTGAGCAGCCCCACAGCAGCAGCAGCAACAGCGCAGCAGCAGCAGCACAGCAGCAGCAGCAGCAGCGCAGCCGCAGCACAAGCAGCAGCAGAACAACCTGTGTCTGTGTGTGTCTTGTCCCTGCTAACTGCAGAAGTCATCTCACGGAAGCCAGGAGGCCTCTTCCACGCCACTCTTGTTGCTGCTTGACTCCGCAGCAGCAGCAGCAGCAACTAGCAGCAAGGGCAGCTGCCGCAGCAGCAGCAGTGCGCTGCTGCAGGCTTTTGGCTGCAGCCCGCAGCTGCCCGCCTTCAGGTGTCTGTACACCTTAGCAACATTGGGTTACAAACATTTTCTAAACTCCCTAAACTATACAACGCTCGCTGGCGTAGCTGTTTGCTGCTGCTGCTGTAGGTGCCGCTGCTGTCGCTGCTGCCGCTGCTGCAGCGAAATTGACAAGAAAGAGTTCCTCGAGAGCCAAAAGATACGAAAAATACAGCTAGCCTTCCCCAGCGAAGGCCAGCAGCTTCTGCTGCAGCGGGCGCTGCTGCTGCTGCAGCGGCTCCTGCTGCTGCAGCGGCTGCTGCTGCAACCGCGTGCGGCTGCTGCGGCACACAATGCCGCTGTAACTGTGCTGCTGCTGCTGCTGCAGCACTTGCTGCTAGTGCACTGCAGCTGCTGCAGTCCCTCGAGATGTTCAACAGACAGCTACACAGCTGTCTACTCTGGGCCACTGTTCACCATGCTGCAGCAGCAGCAAACCATTTGCTGCTGTGGCTCCAACAGCGGCAAAGCACCTGCTGCTATGGCTGTTGCAGCAGGAAGCCACCTGCTGCCATGGGTGTAGCAGCAGAAAACGACCTGCTGCTGTGGCTGCAGCGCCAGCAGCAAACCACTTGCTGTTGCGGCTGCAGCAAGAGCAAACCACCTGCTGCTGCTGCTGCTGCAGCAGTAACAGTACTTCAGTTGTCAGTGGTGGAAGAGTTGCGCCGCACGAAGTCAGACATCTTCCTGTTCAAAGGAGTGTGCTCGTGCTTCTCCGGGATCTTCTCAGCCACCAGCGACTCCGCCCTGCAGCAGCAGCAGCAGCAGCAGCAGAGAAAATATGCGGCACTTGCATGCGCAGACGAACTCCAGCACTGCCTTGGCGCAGCAGCTGCTGCTGCTATACACGAAGTCGTCAGGGCACAGACAGAAGTAAAAAAAACACGAAGAAGCAGAGCAGCGACGCAAGGAGCAGCAGCAGCAGCAACAGCAGCAGCAGCAGCAGCGACGTACCGCTGGATGAGTTCAGTCAGCGCCTGCGGGTTGCTGTCGTTTTTCTTCAGAGTCCTGCAGCAGCAGCAGCAGCCCAGCAGCCACAGTGATGAAGAAACAGCCACGCCTCCAGTGAGCAGCAGCAGCAACAGTAGTGGCTACGTCCAGCAGCAGCAGCAGCAGCAGAAGATGGCTTACTTCTCGAGCTCCGCGGAGACTTCCTTTCCCCTTGCTTGCGACATTTTAGCGATAAGAATGGTAACCTGCAACAGCACGAAACCAGCGCAACAAGGAGTACCGAAGTAGCAGCAGCGGCAGCAGCAGCAGCAGCAGCAACTAGATTAAAAACAAAGAAACGGGAGTTCCGCCCAGCGTATGCAGATGTCCTGTGCTGCCTAATGCAGCAGCCACGCGGAAGCAGCTGGCTGCGTGAGCAGAAGCAGCAACAGCAGCGGCCGCAGCAGCAATAGCAGCAGCAGCAGCAGCAGCAGCAGCGCGAACTAGTTGAATACAGCTTCTAAAGAGTAATGTGATATGATTAGGAACAGAAAAGACAGCAAAAGGTAACGAAGGATTGACAGAACTGTTCTGAACGCGCAGCGGTGGGCAGCAGCAGAAAAGCAACGGCAGCAGCAGCGCGGACGGACAAAGTTACCTGTTTCTGCAGATGAGGTAAAGACAAATTAAAGAAAATATGTTTCTAAAAGAAGAGTAAAGATAAGAAACACAAAAGCTTCGCGATAGTTCGCAGCCAAGCCTGCGGGGTTACGCGAAGGAAGCTCAATGGTCTGTGGAGCTTCCTTGCCGCTGCAGCAGCGATTACGCCTCTTGCTGGTTTTTTTACCTTTTTCGGGGGTGAATTACATATAAAATGGAATTATATTTCAATTAGGATTAATTAGGATGGTTTAGAGCACGCAAAGTGTTCAAAAACCGGCTTTTCCACGTGGCAACGCCCTACTAAGGCAGCCAGCCCCAGTGGGTAACTTGTCAGACTCACACTCAGTAACTCCTTTTTAGAGAATTTTTTGTCTTCCATTCCACAATTTAGTCATATTTCCATTCACACTTCTTCCAGTGCCCCAAGCCTACTGCGAAGCCGAGCAGCACACTGTAAACTGGGGCAGCAGCAGCAACAGCAGAAGCAGCAGCAGCAGCAGCAGCAACTCCTTCTGTACACAAGCACTAGTGCATTTCTCTATTTCATTGAATTTTATAGGCCCCCATATCCTCTGCTGCAACCGCAGCGTAAGCAGAAACAATGGGTCAATCTGTTTTAGTTCTTCTGCAGGTGGGGGTTCGTAAGTCTTTCAAATCTGCTGCGGGCAGTAAGCATCATTTCTAAATAGATGTTTTCTTAATTGCTCCATAAAGGCCTATTTTCCTTTTTCAACATTATATGTTTGAAGAAACTTTTGCGCAGGAACTGCAAAGCCAATTTCCTATATGTTTCTTTACTGAAAAGAAAATAGGCAAAAGCCACACTACAGAGGTTCATTTTTTATCACATAATTCATGTGGAGCGAGAATACAAGAAAGTTTTATTGAATTTCATCTCAAATAAAGCTCTTGAGTTGGGCTACAGAGGTAGACATCTTTATCTGCTCTTGCAAATCCAGAGCTTTTCAGGATTTGAAGGAAATGCTGAAAACTTGACGCGGCTGGTGCTGCATAGTGGTTCAGTTTGAGAAGCTTTTAAATCAAAAGTCTAATGAGTTCTTTGAGGATCTTTTCAATCAACAAGTGCTATTTCTGCTTTGCCAGTTTGAATTCTTCCAGCTGTCCCTTAGGGCCAAGTCTAAATATAGCAGTTTCCACTGCACTTGGGTGTACCTAAAGCAGCACTTTTAGCAGTGCTCTATAGTGGCTTATCGGGAAGAGTCTTGCTGGCAGCTGCCACTTTATGAAACCCGTAGATAAACACAGCTGCAAGCAGTGGCTGACAAATCTCCAAAGTTTGAAAATTTTCTGAACCAGCTTAACCGCAGCTATTCAATAGGGTTGCAGGAGTTAAAATGAGGAATATCTTTCCACTGAAGCTCGCGAATTCCTCCGCTTTTCAGTGGCCGTGTTAATAAACAAATCTGAGACTGGAAAGCAGCAAATGGCAACTAGGAGTGTTCCCGTAGAAGCTTGCAGCAGCACCTACAGGGGTTTTATTCAGAGCATATGTCAGCTGCAAACTCTGAGAAATGGATTTGTTGGATATTTGCTTCTCGTTGGTGCCAGCTAAGAAGTGTAAGCATAAGCGGCTGGTGAGGAAGGAGAGAGAAGATGAAGTTTATAACTCAGTCAAAGCAAAGTAGAATCAGAAGATTTGTGCTCAAGACAGGGAGCTCGATAAGCCCAGCCCAAATTATACGCTTCTAAACGATAGCGGCATGCCCAGAAATAATTAACTTCAACCTGTACACAGAAACCGACGGCTTTGACAGCTGCAGAGTGAAAGCCACCTTCATTCTTCCAGAGGTACCAAAAGTGCTTTGTGTCTTATGGCTGTTTGCATGAGCCTGCGAATGCGGAAATAGAGGAGTTAGTTGAGAGCGTAGAGGCCTCAAATCTCATGAAGAAAGCGAAGGGTTAACTGCATTTCGCTCTGCCGCAGTACTAAATCGGCCTCCTGCAGATATTTAAGCTCCACCAGTCGTCTCAGGCGAAGCTTCATGAGACTGAGGCCCCTATAAGGAATGGATTTTGTTGAGAGCCCAAATGTCTCATGAGAAGTGCGGCCTTTGGAAGCAAAGACCTCTGTTGAAAGCGTAGAAGTCTCACTGGACTGATGCCTTTGAGAAGAAATATCTCAGTTGAGAGCCTAGAAGCCTTATGAGAGTGAGGCCTTAGTTGCGAGACTAGTAGCTTCAGGTCTCATGAGCCCCTAGCTGTGACACCTGCAGGTGAGTAAGGCCTCTGCGGGGTCACTTAAATGCTACTGCGCACAGAAATGACTCTCTGACAGCGGCTACAGCTACTAGTGCTATACACTTTACAAGCCCCTGGTGATGTGCGCGTTTGAGGTGAGACTGAATCCCTAGTCTCTGGAGCCCACGCTCAGTGCCTTGTAAGACAGTAACTGCTAATTTAACTATTTGAAGCTCTAGATCTCAATAGTCTCAGTTGAGTGGCTGTCAAAGAACATGAATGAGGAGAGCTGCGTATTTGGAGCAGAAAAGGGCGAACACCTGAGAGAAGGCAAGCCATGAAAGGAGCCATACATTTTCAATTAACCGCAGCGCGGATATGCAAAGCGTCTTCCTACCACGCGTTGAAGATTCTAGTCACCAACCTAATGGCCTACCCACTGGACCTTGGATCAGTAGGTCGCGGGTTCGATTACGGGTAACTGATTTTTCTGCCTTGTTTGAGTGGCGCCCCCTTGGGACTGCCTATAGGCATGCATAGATGCATGCAGCGATAGGCTGTAGAATCTATTCAAGTCACGGGGCTGCAGAGCGACACAGCGCAGCAAGGTGAGACGGCGCAGCAGCGCGAACAGCTGGAGTTCTCGCCGTCTCTGGCTCGTTGGCGGTGTCAGTGAGTTTGCAGGAGAGTTCAATTCGAAAGCAACAAGGTAGATCACTTCATTTCATCAATGAAGTCGCTTCTTCCCTGAGAAAAATGGAAGTTTCTTTCACCAGTTTAATGTGCCTCGGAAATGGCAGCACTTGCTTTCTCACTGTGTTTTTGGAATAAGGAAGGAAAGCAGATGCGGCGGAGTCGAAGCATCGAAGCCTTTAACTTTGTTGCGAAGCAGTACTCCAGCAGCTCTAGGACTGTTGCATTCGAAGTCAGAAATGCACTTCCTCATGAAGCTGCACGCAGGTGGGACGTTAACTAACGGCTGCCCACTGCTGCTGCAGCACCGCCACAGCAAAAGCAATCAGAACTGCGGCAAGCAGTCAAAGCAAAGCAGCTGTCGAAGGGCGCGCTTTTGCGGCGTTTGCAGTGCTGTGCACTGCAACAAAAGCAAGAATTCAAGTTCGAAGAATGCCAACAGAAAGGGGATGTTGGATCGATGAAACAGCACGGAAAAGTTCACCAGAACTCTGAAGGCTTGGGGGCGGTTTGTCGGCAGCGACTGACTGCAGTGCGCCTCTCGGGTCTCTTCGAGGCGTAGCGTGCAAGCTTTTCTGAACCTGCAGTCAACTTCTATCTTTAATGAAGTTGAGTGGTTCTGCCTACGGTCACAAACCCGCAGCAGGAGCCTCTGCATGCAGGAGGTGCTGCAAGAGTTCTGGCCAATCACTGGCTCGAATGAGGAAAGTTTGGCTGAAGAGTGACTCGGGCCAGTTTTTGGGCTGGGGGAGAGGCTTCCAGTCCGAAGCATTTGTTGCAGCTTCCGATTCTGAGGGTATTAAGCCGAAGACGCGGCGCGTTTGTTTTCAGTGGAGTGGACAAGTTGTCGCAACGCAGACTGAGTCTGGCCCGGAACTGCAGGGCATATCCGCAAAAAGGTCAAGCCTAATTTGATTCCAGTGACGAGAGGGAACGAAGGGGGGATGGAGAAGCTCGGCTGGTTTCTGTTTGAGGAATTTGGACCCGTGGCAATGAACACAAGCCTCCTTGTATGCCGTAGTACAGGCGCGCATGCCTGGCCAAGAGTAGTGTTTACACGGAGCAAGAAAAGTCTTTCTGTTCGCAAAGATCCGCTGGGGCATGATCGTGGTGGATGTAAAGCACGTGGCTGACGAGTCCAGGAAGAGCGGCAAGCACATCTGCCGAATGCACAATGCCACGTGTGTAGTGCACAGGCACTACAATAGGGCTTGCTGGTGACCTGAAGAAGATAGCTAGCTAGCGACCTACAAGGGGCCGCAGCACTGGAGGAGGACAGGACCCTCCTACTAGGATCAAAGTAAGGCAATTTGTCTGCGAATTAACATGCATACGCTGGAGGTGCCTGAAAATGCGTGGAGACTGCGGCTGGCGATAACGCCGGCACCAGTGCAGGCCTCCTCCCCACAAGGCCTAGGAGGCGAGCACCCCGGGTGGGGCAAATTGAAAGACAACAGATTCTGGAAACTTAAGAATAACTGTATTTCGACATACAAAAGCTACTGTTCAAAGGAAATGGGCCAACGTTAGGTGCCGATCATAGGCCCTGCTCGAGGGGGCAGGTAGCAGCGTAGTCGCAGCAGTAGGCGCTATGCACTACAACATGCATGCAAAGCCACAAGGAAACACTTGAAAGGGAAAGTAAGGTGCTGCTTCGGGAACTCGGATTGTACGGATCCTGCAGCTTCCCCTGGCGCTTCGAGGTAAGGAACGGAGAAATACTGGCACTGCAGGTAAGCTGCAACCCAGGCATGCCAGGCTAAATGGCCCTCGCTGCCGGGCTTTAAAGCTGGCCTTCCCATTATTCAAAATCGTTCTTCCGGTGAGGGAAAAGGCACTTTTTGGAGCCACAGCCTCTGCAGAGGCGTCCCGTGTGTCACGGTCTTTTCGCGCCCCGTGCATGAGCGCTGTGGGTGGCAGGACAGAGTGAACAGAGAACTCCTCTGCATGTGGCTAATAGCTCTCCATAGACTTTCGGTGGCGCCGGGGCGCCGGATTGGGCCCGTGGGGCCACTGGGCCAACAGTGCCGAGGGGCGAACATACAGCAAAAGCAACGGAGCCCTCAGGTGGGTAACCAGCGCTCACTGAGTGCATCCGGGGCAGAACGCTGCGGCTGGCGGGGACTCCACGGCTGCCAGGTGGCTGCGCTCAGCTTATGAGCAAGTGATGGTGAGCGGCCGTGTAATACGGGCGGCCTCGCTTCAATCGTACGTGGGGAATTCTTTCCTTCTTACATCGGTACATACAGATCCAATAAGCAGAAAGGGAGCTGAGATGCAGGGGATTCTTTCCTCGTTACATAGGTCCACACAGGTCCAATAAGGACAAAGGGGCCCATATAGACCCTTGAAATCATAAAGGCTTACTTCTGTATCTATTCTGACCTTCCCAAGAACTTCGGTTTCACTTGGTGCTCTTGCCTTCGCATGCTGCACCGGTGATACTGCCAGTCCCAATCCCTGGCTAAAAAAAATGTGGCCCCTGCTGCAGGGTTAGCCTGATCTGTCCCAGAAGAACAGGCTAGTCCACGGCTGTACCAGGAGCCAGGCTTCTCGAGCTATAACCTCTCTAGCTGTGCATCATGTGCAGTATAGTACATGAAAGAAACCTGTGAGTTTGCACTGGCGCAACGTTGCAGTGCTACGCAGTACATGTCGGGACAACAGAGGCCGCTCATCACAGGTAGTGTCTAAGGCGAGGAGTTTGAATTCAAAGCGCGAATGCCTCTGCTGATTCGGGTTCAAGGCCTGACAAGGGACGCCAATGCGTTGAAGCGCTTGCGTATGTGAAAAACGCATTCTGAAAACAGAGAAAGAGATCCACTATCTTTCTCCCGGTTTCATCTCTCTCCCTGCATGCCCGGTTGCTCGCTTGAGCTTCAGTATCTCTTGCGAGCCGCCAGCCTCGGGCTGAACTGCAATGGCCTGACTGCGGAGAACAAGGCCTCGTTTAGTGGTGGATATTTTCAGCTACTACGTAAGCTTACGCGTTGTAAATTAAAAGACCCCGAAGGCACTTTTCCAGTCACATTGTACAGCTGCGCTGTCCACTCTGGATTGCACCTTGCTCAATGATTAACTGGAGACCAGTGAGCCAAAAGTGTCCAGCAATTAGTCTAGATTTAGCGCACAGGCCGTGAATTTTCCGGCTACGTTTACACAAATTACAACACTGGATCGCTGGGATCGACCGAGGATACCCTGGAAGTGTCTCGGTTGGCAGAGTCTCACAACATGGAAATTTTATTTGTGACTACTAGGAAAGTTGGTAGACACAAAAATGATATCTACAATCCAATCTATGGCAGAGTATCTTCAGCGCACGTCTTCTAGGAACCATGCTAATCAGGCTCTAAGCCCGAAAACCACGCCATCCACCGCTAAGCCCTGCGCGGGGGATCCGAATCCGTAAAGGGTTTAATCCGTAAGACTCCAAATCAACAAAGGCGGGAGCCCTGGACTTTATACAGTAGGTCTAAATGTACCGTTTCGCATGCCGGACGATAAGGGACTCAAGCATACTAACAAACTATCCCCCATCATCCTGCGGCCTCTTGGACACCCTCCACCCTAAGCGCTCCTAAGTATTCGGGACCAGCTGTTCTTTTCACCAGGAAATATTCTTTACATAGCCACCAAGCTTTTTCGCTTTTGCCTAAGTCCAGTTTTTCAATCCCGCCAGCTCATAGACCAATCGGGTTTTGGCGCGAGCCCGCTCGACAGCACAAATGCATATTGAGCTGCCACGCTGCTGGGGTCGCACGTGGTCTAATTCTTCGTTGAGCTGCAGTTTAAATATAAAGTGTGACTCAGGCGCCTCGAATCAGAAGACCGCTCCCGTGCATGCAGTGTTTAGCTCGTCGACACCCACGGGTAAAGCGTCGGAGCTATTTGCTAGTTTTAGTTGCAGCTCCCGCACCCATAGTGTCTCTCTAGACAAGGAAGCTTGATGAGACACCAGGCTCGCCTACGGGGAGCATAGGGGGGCTGCATAGTCACAAGTGCTGCAGATTATGAGATAAGAGGATGCCATCAGGGGCAGTGAAATATACAATGAAGCGAAAGCTTCATCAGGGAGAATGGATAGAAGCAAGGAGCTTCGGAATGGGAACAGGGATAATTGCAGCTTTCCCGTACTAACTGCTCAGTTATTAATGTAAAGAATATTTCTGAAGCACTTTAAAATGTGCAAAACCTGCAACTCATCTTCCAGATAAAAATCCCCTGTGATGCCAAATAAAAGTTAAATATGGCATTTTCGCTTTTTCCTTCAGAACATGTTGACTGTGCTTATTCTGCCCTCAAGCCAGTTACTATCGATTTGAGCATTAAACATTCGGGAATGCCATAAGTGATTCTTAACACACGCTACCTTCGTGGATGGATACGCGGCCAGCTACCTGAGGAATTTAACTCTGGAAAAGGTAGACTAAAGTAATTCCAAACCGCCGCATCTCAGTACGTATGCCCGTGAGTAAATGTTATGTTTATGTAGGGTACTCTCTCGTAACATCTGGCCATTCCGGTCCTAAAAGCAAGAAAAAAGAGAGGAGAAAGAGCGGAGAATAATGGAGGCCTCCGACAAAACCAGGCACAGGAAATCTTCTTGATTCCGCCTCACAGCCAGGTGCCAGTATAAACTTCTTGTATCGGAAAACGTTTGAAGGCTCCTAGCGGAATATTCTTCTGCTTATGTAGTTGCTCGCGAATGGACGCCAAGGCCGAAACTCCTGTCCCTGTGAACAGTGTCGCCAACATCTTTTTTGTGATTAACCTATCCAGTTCCCTTTCTTTTATCTATTGCAGGGCAAAGCAATTTTTAGAAAGGGCGCAAGAGATGCAAGCTAGAGATTTCTACTTATGCAGCTGTAGCAACTAGCCAGCTGCTAGCAACAGCAGGCACTTTAGTCCTTAGTGTCGCGGGCTGATCCTGCGGCTTTAGCCTTGGCAAGTTTTGAAAAATCTTCTATAAATTTTATATTGCACATGGAAAGAAATAAACTAGCAAAACCGTCAAGTAACACGCAGAGCTGGACTACTGTCGTGAGATCATGGAGAACTATCTCTAGAGACATTCCGCACACACTGGGGACAGAAACGCAGTGTTTATAAATTTCATTTATCTGAATAGATCAAAAAAGGAAGTATTTCCAATGAAACAGTTGATTCGGGGTGCTAAATAGTTTTTTTTATTATCTCGGGACAGTAATTCATTGCAAATAAAAATAAAAGCTCAGCGACGCTTTGAGCGCCACAAGGCACAGAGCATTACAATTCAAAGCTTTTAAAGAGCTTAAGAAGAAAAAAGCCACTTCCAATTTCAAGGCTGCCCCCGTAGGCTGCAGCAAAGGTAGAAGAAGCTGCTTCAGCGAAACAGTCTACCAAAGGGGCTCGATGGCCCCGCAGCAAACGGGATTCCACTTAAAACTGCTGCAGCAGCACTTCAAGCCTTGACTAAGCAGGCGCTGCAACTGCAACGTTTTCTTTAGGCATGGCCTGGAGAGAAGCGGCCTGGAAAAAATGATTTTTAGAACTTGTGAACATATAATTTTGAACTTACGACCCATTTGAACTTATAATGGGCCTGCCACTGCAGCATGCCCATAGCTGCCAATGAGCGCAAACAGCAGACTACTTTAGTCTCTTGTTGCACTGAAAATCCCAAGTCTTCATAAACTGCCAGTGCACTTTAGCCACCTCTAGCCCCCCCCGGCCAGCTGCAGCAGCAGCAGCAGCAGCAGCAGGCCCCACAGCCACTAACTTCTGGCCGTGCTGCGGGAGGGGGGACCCCCAGGCAGCGGGGCTGACTGGCTTGGCGTGGAGCTTAGCAGAGTGGCTGGGGGCCCCCCAGTGTTGCTGCTGCAGCAGAGCACTAACACCGGCTGCTTCGGGGTTATTTTCTGGGAGTTTTAGGGGTTTTATTTTACCACATTTTCTATTTTATTTGAAGAAGATATGTTTTTTTAATCTTGCGGCGTTCATTTCTCGATGTCTCATTAGAAGCGGGCGCTCGCGGGACTGCACATAGTCATTGGCTGTACAGACACCCCGGAGCTACAGAGTGGAAGCAAAGGCTTCCCCAAAAACTTTCCAGAAAGAAGTTAAAATAAAAAATGATTTTAAAAACAAAACAAAATAGTTTTTGTATCGAGTCATAATTCGGCTGCGGCGCCGCAGCCCCACGGAGCCTTGCTGCTGCTACTGCTGCTGCCGTGGGGTGCATGTATACTGGAAGCGGCAGCAGCAGCAGCAGCAGCCGCAGCAGACCTCACACGCTTACTGCTTCCTTGAAATATCTTTTGTAGCAGCCAGCAGAAGCCAGAAGCCCTCTGTGAGCCGAGGAGAGTCGTGGGGGTGTCTGGGGTGCTGCAGCAGCGCAGAACAGCAGCAGCGGCGGCCGCAGCAGCAGCAGCGGGAGCAGCAGCAGCAGCAACAACGGAAATTCGCGTTTGCTTCTTTTTCCCATTGCAGACAGCAGCTGCTGAGGAACCAAAGAGCAGCAGCAGCAGCCGCAAGCCCCAAACCTTACACTGAACTCACCATGCATTCAGCAGCAGAGGCGCAGGACGCTGCTGCTGCTGCTGCTGCAGCAGAGCACCAGCAGCGCGAACGGGTGGAGGCCGAGCTCGCAGATGAGGACCTCGACAGGATGATGGCGGAGAGGGTGGGCGCTGGGACCGGCTCTAGGGTTCAGGGCTTAGGGTTTAGGGTTTAGGGTTTAGGGTTTAGCATTTTGTGCATTCGTTTCGGCACGAGAACAGCAAAACATATAGCGGGGGATAAGCCCGTTGGCCGTTTGCCGCAGAGCCAGGGTTTGCTGCTCAGCGCCCTTCAGAGGTACCCGCGCCCCAGGGTTTAGGGTTTAGGGTTTAGGGTTTAGGGTTTGGCCCAGAGACATCGTCCCGGAGCCCAAACCCTCCCCGACAAAAGCCGCCCCCCCAACCCGCACGCCCCCGCCCCTCCGCACCCAGGGTTTAGGGTTTAGGGTTTAGGGTTTAGGGTTTGGGTTTGCGCAGGTGGCGTTCGAGCCGGAGGTCGAGACGTTTTTGCGGGAGCTGTACGACAAGCTGTACGTGCGGTGTACAGACAGCGTGCGCCGCCTCTACGAATTCGACTATCCTTCACTTTCCGAAAAGTTTTTTTCTTCTTCTCCCTGGCCCTCGGTCGAGCTGGTGGGGGACTTCTACAGGGACTACCAGCGCTACCACTCGCTGATCATGACGCTCTACAAGGAGCTTTACTACCGCCACCTCTTCCTCAGGTCCAGGGTTTAGGGTTTAGGGTTTAGGGTTTGGGGTTTGGGGTT